CATCGTAATTTCGGATGATGATCCAATCCAACTCTGGGTAGTGTTTGAGCACGACCAAGCGGAACAGAAAAATTAGATCTCCACGACGTCGACGATACTCCAGAGAAAATAATTCTTAACTTCGAAGACGTGCTTCATATGGAAGGCCACGGAGTTGTGGAACCATCCTAGAACCCAGCCGTTGCGCCGATTCAAGTAAGAGCATTTCTCCTGCGTAGCAAGGAAAGTAGGTTGGGCCCGCAAACTCGATGACAGGCTGAAAAAATTACGAAGAAAGCCGCACAATTTGTTCGGGACACTCAGGACTTCTATGCACCTTTTTGTGCTACACATGTCCGCACGTGTTAAAAATGAGAAACCAAAAATGCAAGTCTCCACATACATATAGAACATCCTCTGTTGCTGTCTTCCTTCTTCCTACCTGTTGTTGCTATAGTTAGTTGTAGATCAGTTTTAAACTAGTCGCTTATTCACCGAAACGAGTACAAGCGATATCAACACGCTTTTTATATGACGTTCGCTAGCTCATCAAATTGTGGTTCTTCGCCCTAGTGTATTGAATTTACGGCAGTTTCAGCCTATTGGGATCTTAACTGCGAAGGTAATTTTCTCACAATCGATTCCGCAGTTCTACTTGAGCTGAGGTCGGACGTATAGGTCAATTGGTGTACGGTTGCTAAACAAGCTCGCACTTGTTGGTTTAGATTAATCAAGGCAGCGGCGTTGTCAGACTTCATCTACGGTCCATCGATTAATGCACCCTTAAACGCTCGGGCCACCATAGGGTTCTACCCGAACCTTTTTCTCGAAATTTCTTTCGCTCTTCTGAAACCTTCACCGGCGTCTTATATCGCACAATGCTGTGTGGTCCTTTTTCGCCTTTCTGTTGCAGTACAGTATCAAGTAAGTTAGACATGTAGTACTGTCTCCAGTTCTTCTATCGATGATCGACTGAAACTCTTTTATGGAAGCAAAATAAAGTTTAAGATTCCCGTCGAATCTTCGAATTTTACGTTTTGGTAGATCCAAGCGGTACTCTGAGGTGCGTACGGGAGGTTCGCAGTTATCATCCGGACTAATAGGTTGCTGTCGACCTTTGTTTATCCAATTTCTTGCCTTTCTTCTTTAAAATATGCAGTTTTCTAGATCGACACGTCCTTCAATTTCTAGAATGCGTAATTCAGCCAGCTCTATTTTAAGTCGCTGTGCTTCTAAGTCACTACTTTCAGTAGTGTTTTATGAAGCTGCTAGTGAGTGCTCCTACAATTTCCGAGGACTGTCGTGTACGATTGGTTTGGTCATACCTCAACTAACTGTCAATAATGTTGTTTTTGGCTTTCGTAATACAGTGCTAAGTACGTCACCTGAATAGGCGCACCCGAGGTCGGAAGCTATGTCAAAAGATAGTCGGGATAACTCGTTTGCGTGGTGTGCTATGGCTCTGTAACGGTCCTGCGATCAGCCTTGCGTTGACACTTTTTATCGTATGCGCGGCTGCAGGCCCACACATGACCCTCCGCTGCCCGCGCTCTCACGGCCAATTCTCTGGAAGGCCCTACGTAACTAATCATGCCTTTGCCCGAACCATGTAGGCGTGGTGGTTGGGACATGCCTCAAGGTCGTCTTGATGCTTTTCCTTTTGTCTTGTGAGCTTTGAGCCTACCAGGATTGGCTGGAAGGCGCCCCCAGATCCCGTAACCTGTGCGCAGACGCACAGACCATAGACAAGTCAACTGGTTTGTTTACTGTCAGCAGCTTGTTTCTGCAGAGTCCGTTGTCATCTCCTTTTGTTACAGCACAGTGTCCTACCTAATTGGTCTTACTGGCTTCTCACTTAGAGAACCTTTTGTGGTCGACTATCACTCCTTCCGACAGCTCTACAGAAATAAACAGTAAGATTAACATTGCACGACAGGTAAAATACGAGGTAGAAATCAAAAGGAGGGTGGACATACATTCCAGGTGCTTAGGCGAGCAGTCGTGTGAATGACGAAGAGGCGTTGCAGCCAGTTTATAATGATATAAGCACACGGGGTATGAATCAAAGAACGAGGGACGACCAAGGACACGGTGCGAGGATCAAATAATAATAATAAATGCCATGGGAAATGATGAATAAGGACACGATAATAAAGATCGCAGTGTGTCAACGAATGGGAAGGCAGTCAATGAAGTCAATGGAGCAGGACATGGGACAAAGCACGTGGACACGTGGGTACGTGGGCACGAGGTGGAACGAAGAACATGGGCTATCAGTGGATGATTAAGCAGGCTTAAGATCACGTGCTTTGGCCAAGTCTTAACACGTCACTTTATTAAGGGAAGAAGGCTTTCGCCCTTGAGCTCCCTAGTTTGTAACAAATAAATCCGACTAGGACACTGACATGATGAATGTCGCCGTAGGTTTGGATGAGGTCACCGCGTAGTTGCCTGCAATTGAGAGGAAACAAATAAATAAAAAAATTGTATATATTTTATTTTTATATTTTAGGCCCGGAGGGCCTCGTCATTGCAAACTTAGTGCCAATCTGTCTACGTAAGGAAGATGACCAAGAATGTTGACTATCTTCGCAGTCCTCAACTGCACTCGTTCCAAATGCAGATAGTCCTTCTTAAATCGTAAGTACCTTACCCGAATGCCGCCTGTTTTTTCGTTAGAAACTTGATTCACCCCTTGGTAGAGGACTGTTGTCTGATTAAAAAGGGATCACGCGTCTCCCGACATGAATGGATTACATCGAACCTAAAAATGAACCTCAAGACTGTGGAAAACATATGCCAGATATCAATAGTGAATTTTTCTCGAAGTCTCCTGCTAAAAGCATAATCATCCTTTCCGCAAAAACCAGTCAAAGGAACATCGACCAATCCAAACAGATTGTTTTTGCGTGAATAAGTGAAAACGAAATTAGGATTCCATTCCTTTCATAAAAAAGCCAAAGGAACAAGGAAACCGACATCTCAGAAAAGACAAACCGTTTGTCTAACTTCTTTATGTCTATATATACCGAGTAACCGCCTTTTTTAACGAAGAAGTATAATTATGTGCTGCCACACCAACAGATTTAATAAACGCCGTGTCGTTCACAACAGAAGCACTACGAACATTCTGAAACTGTTACAACCCACTTAATTACTTGGTTCAGACGGCATATAAACGAAAGTTCTGAATGAGCTCGCAGGATAACTGGCCTCCCCGCTTTCCAAGATATTCGAAGGTTCGATGACGGAAGGACTCCGCCTACCGACGGGAATTGGCCACAGGGAAGAACCTAATGAAACAGTTCTAGACCAATTATTCTCACAAGCATTTGTTGGAACTAATGGTTAAGGTATTCAAAACGCTCCTGGACAGGCATATTGTGGAGAACGACTTGCTAAGTGCGCATAAACATGGATTTGTTGGTGCTCGAAAATGGGGCAATATTGATGCTGTGACCTGTGCAGAGATGCAGTTTGAGGCAACAGTCAGAGGGTGTGTTGGAATGATTTCCTCCACGTGTGCCGGTGAATTGGCACGTTGATATGAGAGGAAGGGGTGTGTGCGGCAAAGTGCATCCCGGTCAATGTTGACACAGACGAATCCGTCCATGAAATGTTTCATTGTCGTCTGGGCTCGAAGACGGGAAATATTGCGGAGCATGTCAAATGCAGTGGAGTTTCATCGAGTTAAGTACAGAAGGGGTTTCACTTCTGGAAAAAATCACGAGTAAGGATGTTGACTCCGACGACACTGCTTCTACCGTGTCCTACTAATCAGTCGATAGGGAAGAACCCAATGCTTTTCAGATTTTCATTAAGCTGCAAACTGACGACGTTCGTGACCCTACCGTGTGGTTTGAGCAGATAGAAACCGTTTCTGAAGCACGCCGTATTGTTAGCGAGCTTACGTATTATGGGTACATAGTACAGTCTTTACCATTTGACGTCGCATACGCAGTTCAGGATCATCTCGATCATATTCCTTGGGATCAGCCTCATACTCGATTGAAACAGGCTATCCTCAAGCGCACGGCACAATCTGCCGATAG